AGAGTGTTGTTCAGCATGGGGGTGAGTAGAAAATGAAGGCTAATCATGTTTTGGGTGTACTATTCCTTTAAGACAGTCACATTTTGGCCAATGGAAAGTGTTGAAGTTTGTAATTCAGTTTAAATTTCTGTGACTGCAGTTTTTTTTAGCTTTTGTAATATAAATTATCTAAAAATATGGTAATTTGGTGATTAATATTATATAATAATAATATTAATATTATTAATATCCAAGTAAAGTGATAAATCCAAGTAAAGTGATAAGTGGCGTGCAAAAATATTGCATTTTTTTAGTGTTGGAGAAAAAAACCTGTTGGGAAAAAATGAATCCATCCATCCATTTTCCGTCACGCTTTATCCCAGCTGGGGTGGGAAAAATGAATGATACAAAAAAATAAAAAATGACACAGAAATTTTTTTTATTGGTCTAATTGATTTAGAGTTTATCTTGGATTTTATTTTATACGCTACAGAGTTTTTCTTGTGTGCAAATCTGCACTATTGTGCGAATGCATGCAGTTTAGGAGGAACAGTGATGAACAGACTCTACTATGAATCTGCTTTGCATAATTCCAACATTATGATCTTTTTTTCTTTGGAATCGTGGAGCAAATGATTTTAAATGGCAACAATGTCCTTAATCTTTGAATTTCTTTTTTATGCTGGTAATTCAGTTATTACTGAAACTGATCTGCTAGATAATTAAAGTCAGTGTTATTCATAGCAGTAAATTAGAATTGGTAACATTTTATACTTCAGCCATCTTCTCCAGCTTATTCTGTCAGCGTTGCGGTGAGGTTGGTGCCTGACTGGCAGTCTATGGGCGAGAGGCGATGTCTACCCTGGACAGGTTGCCAGTCTGTCACAGGGCTAAACAAAGACATCCTATACTGTAGTAAAGAAAAAAAAAAAAAAAAAACATTTCTTCTTCTAAGTCTAATCCTGAAACCGTTCCTTCTTTTAATTTTTTACCCCCAGATGTGAATAATATCAACCATCTATTTTAGCCTCTGGTGTGTTTTCTTGAATCTTTGCAGAGACTTCTGCAGCACCCTGAGCTGAGCAACAGCCAGCTGCTGGCTGACTTCCTGTCTCCTCATAGCATGGAGTCCCAGTTTCTGGACAAGATGCTGCCTGATGTGAACCTTGGTATGACGGCAGAGGGATCCTATATGAGCTGGATGTGGTGAAAATGACACATTATGAAGTTCCACAGATCACCAAACAAACTGTTCTCTTTACAGGGAAAATAATAAAGGCTGTGCCCAGCAAACTGATCAAAGAGGTAAAGTACACATTCATTTGGAAGCATTTATGTCTTTAATTTATTATTTTATAATTAGCTGAAAATTAAAGGGGAACGCTGTTTTTTTTTACATTTTGCCCTTGATTTTCCGTTATTCCATCATGTTCTACTCACCCATATGAGTTTAGTGTCATTTGGAGCCTTTCTGAAGATATTCCGTTAGGTAACGTCTTCCTATGGGCAACGACTTGAAGGCACAAACGAAACTGTTCATCATTTATTCTTTATGGTACGCCATTTATAACATGCAGGCGAATCATTTTCCCTCAGACATCCGCGGTTATATTTTTTATATTTATATTTTTTTTAATACAAAGCGGTGCGTGTATGACGTCATCCGCACGCGGGACTGGAGTTGTGACAGGCATCCCGGTCCACAGGCGGCTACGCTCTACCCCCTTTTATTAATTCTAGCTAATCTGAATCGTTCAGTTCCATTTGGAGAGCGAGATCATCTGTGGTAGCAGCACTAGACATCCTCCAGGCATGTGAGGAAAACTAGCAGCAGTTCAGCGGACAGGAAGAATGGACGGTAAAAAAAGAAAAAAAATTGTTAGAACTGTAAATCTACGGTCAGTTTTACTATTTTTCAAGGCTGCATTTTTAAAAAGATGAAATTTCTTTTTGTTTTACACTTGTGTAAACCAAATGACAAAATCTGTCTAAAGTCTAAATGTCTAAAATGACACAGAACTCGGTGAGTAGAACATGATGTAATAACGTAAAATCAAGGGGCCAATGTAAAACAACCGGTGTTCCCCTTTAAATAGTAAAATAGCACCCCATAATAAATATTTTAACTTCAAAATTCAAGCATAATATATATTATTAAATTCATCCAGAACATTTTAAGTCATCAAATTTAATAAATAATTCAACAATATGTAACATTTCTGCTTAAAATCAAATGCTACATTTGATTCATCATCTGATTGGTTAACCCACCCATGGCCCCGCCCTCTGACTTTGTCTTATTGAGTTACAGCTAAAAAAAATCACAATATTTAGCTTCACTGGACCTTTAAATGTGTGATTATTTGAATATTTATTGTAGAGTAAATAATTATGCGGATGACATATTCGTATTTATATTTAGTTTTAATCAATATCCACAACAATTCTCTCAGTATGTTTTATCTAGAACATTCTGGAATATGTTGCCTCCTCATATTTCCTTAATAATGTGTCGTGTTTTGAAATAAAATGTCTTTTTGTTCAGAAAGGGCAGCACCTGGAGCCTTTCATCCAGTCTTTCTTCAACTCCTGTGAATCTCCCAAACCCAAACCCAGCCGACCTGAACTCACCATCCTGAGCCCCACGTCGGAAAACGATAAAAAGGTTGGCGATAAACATTTTAAGCTTTCTGAAAACGTTTCCTAGAGCCACATAATGCTGTTGCTGGCTGAGTTTAGATATTTCTCTCACAGCTCAGATCAGCCAGATTATTACTGTACACTCTGTAGCTCAATGTTTGCATTCAGTGCTACACTGCAGAAAATATAAATCTTAATAAGTCAATTTGTCTTAAAATAAGTGCATTTTTTTCTTGTATTGAGGAGGTAAGTGAGACACTTTGCCAATGGAACAAAACAATTTACAATTAAAATAAGAAAAAAAACTATTTCATTTACTTATTTCAAGTATATTTTATCTAATTATCTTATTTTAAGAGTAAAAATACTCATTACATTGGCAAATCCTCTTACTTACCTTCTCAAATTAAGGGTAAATACACTTAATTTAAGAAATCTTTACTTATTTCTAGATTGTTTTTGCAGTGTAGTATTTGAAAACAAAAAGTCTATTTTTTAAATTATAATTGTTGTAATAAATACATTTTTAAGCCAGGAACTTGAAGCTTAAAAGACTAATTTTGAAACAGTACTAGTTACATATTAAGCCCAACTTTGTTAGAAATTCATTATTTACTTCCCAAGAGGTGAATCCGTCTTCAGGAGTTAGAGAAACCTTAGTTTATAACTTCAATCTGAAACAGAGGTCACGGATTAGCGGATCGTGGGTCTGGATCCGGATCCACCTGCTGGCTAATCCAGATCCACCTGTTGGCTAATCCAGACCCAACCTGATTTAAAACGTTTATAAATTATTGCATGTTGTCCGACGACGGTGTCAAACTTCACTTGCGCTTTTTCACCTGTTAATACGGTAAAGCCCTGGGGAGCGTCCGGCTCCAGGCTGCACGTGATCCAAATGAGCCAATGAGCTGTCAGTCTGGGTTGCTGCTGCTGCTACTTTTAGACACAGCAGGCAAACCTGTGGCAAGCCGGGCGATGGGAAAGAAGGAGAAGACCATGAGAAAAAGAGAGCAGAGAAAGTGTGGACTGCTGGAAGAACTGCGGTGAACTGGTGAAAGAAAAGTGAAATGGCGTGCTCAAAGATGACCCTGCACATTTAGAGGATGTTTGGCTCAACCTGCTGCTGTGAAGCAGGATTCTCCACCATGAACAGAATCAACAATAAATCTGGATCCAGGCTCAAAATGAGCTCCTTGATATGTGCTTGAGAATGGCTTAGTCTCCGGTTAAACCCAGGTTTAAAGCCTTGCAGGGCAGCCTAAAGCCCACTGCCAACATTAAGACAGAAAAAAGAAAGAAAAAAACCAACAAAACGGTCAATTCAGGGGTTTCATAAAATACGTGAAGCAGGAAATTGTCTATAAACCAAACTGAAAGATTGTTGTTCTCTACGAAAACAAATGCTTTAGATTTTAAAATGGAAAAATTTTCTTTTTTTTTTTTTCAATTTTTCTAATTAAAAATTAAATGTGTAACATGGATGCATAAACATCTCATTTTATTTCAGTGTTAAATTCTGTTTAAAGTAATAGATTATAATTCAAAATGTCTCTGCACCTTTACTGGTTGTTAATTTTCTTTATTAGGACCCCGCTGATTTTTAATTGGTTACCTCTGGTCTAAAATCTCTTGCAGCTCTTCAATGATCTTTTCAAAAACAACGCCAACCGCTCAGAGCTGACAGAGAAGAGACACAACCAGAACTACTTCATGGAGATGATTACAGTCGAAGGGGTCTATGATTATTTAATGTATGTGGGTAAGTGAAAGCAGATGTTGGTTAAAGCTCTCCATCACAAATATTTACATAAACTGTAAAAAAAAAAACCCAAAATAAATAAAAATAAGGGACTTAGATATAGTTTGAATATATATTTATACGCATTCTCAGTGAAGTCATCCTAGGTGATGTTATGGTAAATCTAAATGGGAAGGCCTTTCAGAGACATAGACAGGTATGGTGTATTACAGGCTGACGAAGAAACTAAACGACCCACCTTCCAATGGAGTGGACCCACTGGTCAGGTTCAGTTTGCATGTTTTCTAAGCCAAAACAAGGCTTGGCTTGGACCCACACTGGAAAAACCATCTAGAAATATGTAAATAATGTCTTCAATTAAGTGTATTTACCCTTAATTTGAGTAGGTAAATAAATGATCTTGCAATGGAATGAATATTTTAACTCTTAAAATAAGATAATTAGATAAAATGCACTTGAAATAAGACAACACAATTGTATTTTCTTAATTTAAATGTAAATTGTCTTGTTCTATTGGTAAAATGTCATTTTTACCTCCTCGATTCAAGAACAAATGCACTTATTTTAAGAAAAAATTACTTATCTAGATTTTGATTTTTTTTTCCCGTGGATTCTATAAGTCCTTGAACTCAACGCTATTTCTGACATTTGAATTGAAAAACCTTCCTGGATGGGAAGAGAAATGTCTTCAAACTTGGAAACCAAGTCCAGTGGATTGTTATTTCATTTTTTTTGGAATGACATATAGGTAGGGATGCACGATAAAAACGGCCCCCTATCGGTATCGGCCTTAAAACTGAATATGGGACATCGGCCACCCCACTGATATTTAACCCGATATTTGATCAGCTTCCGAGTTTCTAAAGTCTAAAAAAAAAAAAAACTACTTCTTCCTCAAAAACTTCTTTTTTACAGACTTAAAAACTTCTAAAGACGAGGGAAAAAATATTGATCCATTAAAATATCCCAATATCTTCATATGCTGATATATTGCCATTTAAAAACACCATATCAATCTCTTTTACTAATGAAATATTGCTATATGTCATCGTTATGCTACGAAATCCCCCGAAAATTCACCAAATGTTGCCATATTTTTATATGTTGATATATTGACGCGGTATCGATCTATTTTACTAACAAAATCTCACAAGAATTTGCAAAATATCACGAGAGTTTGTAACAGAACGATGAAATTTCACCAGATTTTGAAAGTAAAATAGATCGATACCGCGTTTTTAAAAATCTATTTGATATCAGCATATGAAAATATATTTGAGTTTATTATTTTTCAAAGTGTCAGAAATGGATAACAAAACTGCTATTTTCAATGACTACTTATTTTTGTCCAGCTTTAACATCGGTATCGATATCGGTTATCGGCTACATGAGTTTTAAAATATCGGCATATCGGATATCGGCCAAAATCCCAATATCCTGCATCCCTACATATAGGCTATATTTACCAACAAATTGATCCAAGGGAAACCTTAAAAAACATATGCTATATCTTCAGGACGCCGTCATTTGTCATCAATGTGTGAACTTGTAAAATAAATGTAGTTTGTTCCGCTTTGGATTAAAAGTCATTGACGAAAGTTAAAAGCTCCTTTCTTTCAAACCTTGTTTAATAAGTTTAAAACAAAAGCAGCACAAATAACATTTCTGCTGCACAAACAAAGCTGAATTGAATGACACCAATTTTTTTTTATTGAAGAAGGTGAGGGGGCTGGTTGATCCTTGGTGACCTCTGGAATTTTTCATTCATATCCATATAATGGTAAAGGCGCTAATGTAGCCGAAATTGATGGTTTCATTTGGAAAAGTTGGGGATGCCAGCTTTACTCAGGTACATATCTCGTATGCGATATCCTGGAAGAAGTTCTCCACAGAGATCTGCTTTAAAATGTGTGTTTCTCTTATCTGCTGAAGGGTCCTGCTGTCCTGAAATCTCAGTGTGGAGAACATCTGGACAAAAGGCTTTGAAGCACCGGGTTTCCCCTCCTTAAATGCGCTTTTAGAATTTGGCATATCTTCATTTTGGCACGCTGTAGAAGACAAAATGATCTTAAGAGCTATTTAAGCACTCTGCTTAACGGCACCTGTTCAATCCAGGAAACCGTGGCCTGCAATTGATAAGAGTCTTGTGGCATTTAACTTAGAAATCAGCAGCTGATTGCACTCAGCTTTACACAGTGACTTTGAGTTATTCTGATGGTTAAAATATTTGATTCAGTCATTTATATATTCTCCATGTAGTTTTCCCTTAGAATTAAGGTAGCAATGACACAAACGTTTATTATATATTTGATGATTAAGGAAAAACCCTCTCATCCAGACCCATGGATACAACAGGTCCTATTGCAGATTTATGTCCCGTTAACATCGCAGCACCAAGATGAATAAGCAAAGTACCTTTTCTGAATTTGAAACAAGAATCATATTAAACAGCAACTTGGAAAAAGAGAGTCAAATTAAAAGGCTGGAATGTTCTAGGTAAATATTAAGCACATCTTGAAACAAATAATTTGGCTAGAAAAATGACTTTTATTTAATTGTCTTAAAGTCGGCTCCTCTTTTCTCCAAATTACAGCTGTTGAATATTTATGAAATTAATATTAATCAAACATGTACCTTTGTTTTTATGATAAATCAGGGTCAGTCTCGTGATAGTTTCAAGAATTATTTTGTTCAGAAGACCATTCTTATAATGCTAGTAAAGCTTTTTGTTGTCCTTCACCATTAAGCATTAAAACTCAAGTGTAATTTTCTTTTCGGCATCGTGGTGCAAAACTATGGATGGAATATAGAAAATATTTTAAATCTTCAACCTTTGGAAAGAATACTGTTATCCAAAAAAGACAGTGATGTTTGATTTTACAAATACTGACTCCCTGAAATCTGAAAGTTAAAATGTAAAAAACAATTGTATGTATTCTGAGTTATTTATTTTGATTTGTGAAAAAGAAATAAATCTAAATAATTACCCACCAATAGTATCCATTGTTACATAATAACATGCATGTAATTGCCTGCATATATACCTTATTTTTGGGGAAAATACCAAATATAGTATTTTTTTTTCCTGTTACCAGGTAATTTAGTGTGACTTGCTCTGTTATTATAATGTTAATACATGGTTATTGATGTACTGTAGAAGAGAGAGCTACTGTCTTACATTTTCTCCTTGTTTATATCCTGACAAAATATTTTCTGCATCACTGCGGCAGGGCGGGTTGTGTTTCATATCCCTGACTGGTTGCATCACTTGTTAATGGGCGGCAGAATCCTGTTCAAGAACACCCTGGAGGCCTATACAGATTATTACCTTCAGTTCAAACTGAACCAGGTGGTCCAGGAGCACCGGCTCGTCTCACTCATCACCCTGCTTAGAGGTAAAAACCGAGGCCTCTGATTTGCCCATGAATCATTAGGGAGGATTTTCTTACAACCCTTCATTCCAGAATGTCTGTCGGTAACAGAACCAATGTTCTTCCAGACGCAGTTTTCTGCGAGAGCAGTCCGCCCCGCTCGGCCCAGGACAAACAAAGCAGAGCGAAGAGGACGTTTGAGGAGATGATGAGCTATATTCCAGGTCTTTATTTCACTGCCAGGGGTTGTTTTTATTGATTATTCAGCAGCCGAGACAAATAATTGCATAAAGGGTCAATTTCTTTAGATTTTTTAGGGAAGTGTATCGGAGAGGAGGCCAAATATGAAGGAGTTCGCCTTCTCTTTGATGGACTGCAGCAGCCGGTTCTTAACAAACAGGTACAGGAAAACCCCCGTCATTTGAGGCTCGGTCATAGCATGTTGATTCTGGAGGTAGAGGTGGAAAACCTGACTCCTCCAGATGGATTTGCTCCGCATATCCATCTGGAAACCTTCCGTTGAAGTAATTTTGGGAAGGGGCGAAAATACTGGTTAGCTG